GCTGCTTTCACAAACTTCTTTTTCTTTAAACATGATGAAAGTCTCTATGGCCCCATTGTTAAGCACATTTCATTTTTTGATTTTTTTAAGGTAAGCCACTAGCCACTTTTCATAGCAGTAGGTTCTCAGTGTTTCCCATTATCAAATTGCTTAGCATGTATTATTGATAATAAAGCGATTTTTAGTTTTTCAGCACAGCACCAGTAAACAAGCATGAGTAGACATCCCTCCAGTGGGATTAACTGCTGTGTAGCTCTTACACTGAGGATAGTAATGTCTGATTTACATCTGAAGGTTCTGTAGAACCTTGTGTAATCTATATAACTCCAAGTTCCTTTTTATTTCTTTTTCCTGATTCAGCGATCAGGACTACTAACATAACTAACATAGTGGGAAAATCGGTGGATGAAGTGGCACATCTACCCTCGCAGCCGAGGATGAGCGTCTAAGAATTTCCGGAGAACTTAATTGATGAAGAGGGCAGCTCTGTATACCCTGCACTGTGATGAATTCCAAACTAAATAATAAAAGCTCCTTAGACAGTGATGCTTGCCTAGCCAATCCTACATGTCTCAATATCGGCAAGTCAGTAACACCAGTGCCCTCAGAATGATGTAACCTAACCAAGCTACTGGGAGCTTCTGTTTGTTAATAACTTCTGGTCATTTTCTTTCCAGTATAAATACCAAATTAATATTGATGGCACAGTGGCAGCATACAGATTGCCTTATCTACTAGCAGGAAACAGTGTGGTGCTAAAGCAAGACTCCATCTACTATGAGCATTTTTATAATGAGCTGCAGCCATGGAAACATTATATTCCCTTTAAAAGTGACTTGAGTGATCTACTAGAAAAACTACAGTGGGCAAAAGAGCATGATGAAGAGGTAAGCACACATTTAGAAGTATTCAGTAATGTTTCTAGACAAAATAGAGAACAAAAAATGAAGCCAAAATCTATTAGAAGGACTTATAAAATATTGCCATCAACTCTGTGACTAAGAAAACTGCTTTAAAAGTCATAGAATCATAGAATTTTAGGGGTTGGAATGGACCTTAGAGATCATCCAGACCCAACCCCCTGCCCTGGGCAGGGACACCTCCCACCAGAACAGGTTGCTCAAGGCTTCATCCAACCTGGCTTTGAACACTGCCAGGGTTGGGGCAGCCACTACCTCCCTGAGCAACCTGTGCCAGTGTCTCACCACTTTCACAGTAAAAAACTTTTTCCTGGTACCTCACCTAAATTTCCACTCTTTCAGTTTGTACCCATTTCCTCTTGTCCTGTCACTGCAGCTCCCCTGTAGGGCCCTTCAGATACTGGAAGGAAAATAGATAATACTGCCCTCAATTTGAAAGTAAATAGAACTTTGGGAAAAAAATAAGACTTTTCATAACAATGCCCTAACTTTTTAAATTAAGAATGCTTAAACTCAAATTAAAAAAACCTGCCTTTTGTTTTCTTTGACAGGCAAAAAATATTGCAAAATCTGGACAAGAATTTGCAAGAAACAATCTCATGGGAGACCACATTTTTTGTTACTATTTCAAACTTTTCCAGGTCAGTGTATTTTTAATGGCTACTGGCACAGAAATAGATATCACCCAGAAAGAATTCAGGGCAACAGAGCTGCTGGAAATTGGCCAGTCTAGTACTTGAAGCCACAAAGCAAGAAGCAGCAATTAAAATCTTCATTTGGTTTACAAACATTGCATTCAATTATATCCTACAAAACCCCTTCAGACTGCGCTGGTGCTTTGAGAGGCAATCAGATCCCATAAATCTTGATCTAATCTGCAAGAATATGTTGCCCACAATGATCAAAGAATTCCACATCAGACACACACCCTGTCAACCACAGCTGAAAATATCTGTGCATTAGCACCAAGATATGAAACTCCAGTGAGGCACCCGAAGGGGCTCCTGGCTGCAGTGAAGTATCTGCTTACCCTGCCTGGAGTAACAGATTGTGTAGCCCCAGAGTTTTTACACAATTGCTCAGCTGAGTTGGTGCAGTGTGACAGAGTTCATGAATTAATGATACCTTCCTTTTCTAAAACTAGGATTATGCCAGCTTGCAAGTGAGTGAGCCAAAAATCAGAGATGGGATGGAGAAGGTGCAGCAGCCTGATGATGACCTTTTCCCATGTACTTGCCACCGAAAAAAGGTACAGTACAGAGTTAAACATGAAGTGCTGAGTGTCTTCAGTTCTTAACACACCCAGACTGGAACAGGCACCACTCAGTGCCCCATGGTATCAGTTACCAGGCCAGGCCATTAGCACCTATCGAATTTAGAAACATTTCTTGATGTATTGCAGGATTAGGCAGTGAAAAATTGAGCTTCCAGTTAACTGAAACATGTTTCTTCTTTCTTGACTGCAGGCCAAAGATGAACTCTGACAGAAAGAATTAAACTAATTTTTTCAATATTTGCCTACATTCTGACTGTCTTAAAGAATGAAGAAAAATCTGGATTAAAATGGGTAATGTGAGTGGATATTATGAAGTTTACTGTATCATGATCTACATGGGGAAGAAAACAAAGCACCCTCTATTTCCTTTTTATCATGCAGTGGTTGCAGAGCCTTGTTCAAACACATTTTTATAATTTTTTTAAATAAAAACATGCTTGTATCAGTCACGTGTTACTGTCCTGAGTTACCTTGGAAATTCAGATACCTTGTAGTCATTGTTATACTGAGCTTTCCACAAGTGTGTTCTGCAGAAAAGGACAGATAAGAACTGTACCTCTGCCTCCCACCCCACCTATCTATCCAAAGGCGTATTTTTCAGACCATAACTTTGTTCCAAGAGAATCTGTTCTCAAGGGCAATGCTGTGGGGTTCATGATAAATCTTGTTACCTTGAAGATAAAAACACAATTCATATGCTGCTGTAAGCTTGGGTCATTCCAAGAAGTTACTCATAGCCCACACTGGGGGAGGCTGCAGCTGCCAGCATACACAAACTGCAGTGTCATCATTGCAGTACAATGTACATCCACCCTGCAATGCCAGAGCTCAGATGAGGACTTGAGTTCCTCCTTCTAGTGGGTAATGAGGTCCAGACCTGGACCTGCCTCTTTGGAGCCCTACGGACAGAAGCCTTGTGTGGCATCACACCAGAGGTAGAACTGCTTCCTGCTCCACGAGTTCCTCCATCACTATAAATCATTTGTCTTTTAGCAATTTTTATTCAATAGCTTTCCATGCACACCTCTCCAACGAGCCTTTGTGATCAGTCCTTTACACCAAGGACATTGCTGGAGGAGACTGTTCAAAACTGTGCCCCATGTATTTTGCTCCACGTGCCCAGCTGTGCCTGCGTTATCTCCTGCTCCCCACACAGGCTGAGAATCTGGCTCCCTGAGGTGACAACAATGTAAACTACAAGAGCTTCCTCTCCCTGCTCACTGGTTTTGAAGCACCTGAGAGCACCAGGATATGGCACCAAGGTAGGGCAGTACACCAGGCTCACCAGCCTCAGGGCATGTGCTCGTAGAATTCTACAAGTTAGGAGATTTTAATTGCAAGCAAACAGCATCAGTAATATGCTCAGAAATTGAAGGCACCTAAAGATATGGGATCCAAGTAGATTTTTTTCCCAGTATATTACTTCAAATATTAGTCAAAAGCATATACTTAGTGCTCTGCATTCTAAGTGTTGTACATGGTTATTTGCATGAAAACACAGGAAACAATGCTGCCACAATACTAAATATTTTCTGTCCTTCAGTAAGTTTTTTATTGTTTTGCATTTTTTTCTCATTCATACAAAGCTTTATTTGCATTTACACTTACACCTCTGAAAAGACCTGTTTTACAAAATATCCCTTTCAAAAATAACAAACTTTTATTTATCACATTTGGGAAAAACTAAGTGAAGATGCTGCTTAAACGCTGCAACTTATTTGTGTTCCAGTTCAACAGTCTCTCTAAGCCAAGAAAAAACTTGGGCATTTATTTCCTCCATGACATCATCTGCTGTTCGTCCTTTGACTGCCATCCCATGGTTTGCTTTATCAATCCAATGGATTTTTTTAGGGGCTTTCATTTTGCTTGCCACACCTTCTAGCAATTGCTATGGAGAAAATAAAAATGAGTTAGCTGCTACAAACAGTACAACTCCTAGATGTCTCTTGCTTTGCCCATGTAACACATAATAAGCAGCTCTTAAAACCAAAATGGATCTGTGTCCACATGAAAAACACCTTGATAGAAAAGATGGGATGTACTCTGTATTCAGGATATGAAGACAATGCAATTATGGGATTTTCTCAAAGGTTTGCCCCCCCCTTAACACAGAATAGCAGAAAATTAGAACTTCAGAAACTGCAAAGGTCACAACCCTCTGCAGGCTCCTTCCCCTTTCACTGTCAGAGGATTGTGCTGGCAATAGAATGACAGAACTTCTCAAGTCAGATTTGTCTACAGTGGCTGAGTAACAATATCATTCCTTAGGGTCTGGCTTTGATGCTGTTTAAAACTTTCTTAGCAAACAGATCTAAAAAGCAGCTCAGAAAGCCTTAAAGGTTTCCCCGTTAAGAGGGCACTCCAAGGATCTGCTGGTTGCTAGCCTGACTTATTTTGGCAACAACTCCTCACAAAAACACTCCTTAGAAACTATCCAAGCATGAAAAATGCCAATTGCACACACTCCCAAATTCAAGCTGACCTGTTCAAGAACAATAGATACCTGTTTGTAAGAAAATGAGGCAGAAAACCACTGAGTTGTCATTTCTGCACACCTGCTCTTCATCTCTACAAAAATATCACTTTCTACCATGGAGTCCTGACTTGTAGGTAGAACTGCTTTGCTAGAAGAATTTGTCATGAAAACGTGTCAAATGTGAAATTGGTAGCACAGCACAGCATTTATGTTTTGTAACCTGAAATGGTTAAAACGAAACAGCAAATAACTCACTCCTTCTAAGGCCACGTGTAATTAGTACAATCCTATCAAAAACATTTAAACTGGTGGTATTTTAGTGGCTTAAAGATGAGTTTGCTAAAGTGGAAGATAAAGCATGATGCCTAAGTATTAAGCAGCAGAAGAAAGCACCGCCAGGCTGCCTTATGCCCGATGAGGTTTCCTATCCAAGGCTTCCTTCAGAAGACATCTATGTAGAGAAAGCTGTTAACCAGGTACAGCAGT